CCCCCCCCCCCCCCCAACTAGCACATCTTCGCTACGTCCCTGCTAAAATCGTAAGGTCTCTACTGACAAATGAAGAGGATGTATTGGGGACGAGGTTAAATTGATTCCTTCAAAGCTTGGAAGTACTTTACATGCAGGGCGGTACAGGCGCAGTATTAATTCATTGCACGATAAGCATTAAAACGGGAATTGAACTATAAAATCATATTAGTTCTTCACAAGCAAGGATCCACGTAATCGATAAATCCGTCAGGATAAGTTAGCAATTTGGAGGTCCAACCATAGCCTGCTCAGTAGCCCACTAGCCCCCACCCGAAATTTCGGGCTGCGAGTGCCGCCGAGTAGGCTAGTCCAACCAGCGCTTTAATTTGGTTGGACTCAACTGTGCACCAGAAAGCTGCGGATTGAGATAATGAGAGAGGGATACTTGCTCTGGGGATTTGTTTCAATTTCCAATTGGGACTGGATTTGTTTTAATTAATTAAACACGATCCTGTTGCAGAATTAACTCGTGTCTATCACAGTATATGGGAGTGTCTACTTACTCGTGTCTATTCATGACAGCACCATGCAGAATGAAATAGCGACTCATGGTCATTACTAATAATGACAGGGGAGCGCGGTGGTTGAGAAATTCCCAACGTTTTACTGTTTTGACATCACTCCCAACTGCAATTAAGACATCCACTTTCAAGACGCTCCCAAACTTCATATCGAATAGTTGAGGTTCTCCCCACTCCCCCCCCCCTCCCCATTATTGATGGCCGGTCCCTTAGAAATGTATATACCGACCAGATAGTAACCGGTCATGCAAGGAAAAATGGCTGGCTACTAATATAACTAATGAGTAATCGTGGTATTTGAACAATATTTCTCTATTTTGTTCCATATAATATTAAGTTAGCCCTTTAGGCTTTACATGCATAAGATGCAAAAATGTCTGTGGAGATCCTCAAATGTTCATCATATTTTTCTGGGACCGGGTATCGGATCCAGCTGCCCTTTTTAAACTATATATTAACGGGAAACATCGATCTCAATTTTGAAGATAAATGCAAAACGGTGAGGTGGGGGGTATTCGAGGTGGCGCAAGTGCATGCAAGAGCCTTTTCGGACAAATGACACTTAGTTATGTGAAAAGAGTTGGTCAACGCTCTACCGAAAGTCGTGGATTTTCTCCTACAGGGACAGCTGAAATGAAACGTGCAACCACAACGAATAATATTTAATGAAGTTGAGACAAAGGATTTGTGCACGGTGTCGGTGAGGTACAGTTCAACATCAAACAAAGGCCTTCTAGTTGTATTAGAATGTTGGGGAGTTTGGGGTTTGTAATCCAAGTGAGTATATATACATTTTAAGACCTTACCAGGAACAACTGCGAAAAATGCAGCACAAGGTCCTCTGGTAGTTTGCCGGGTTCCCAACTTCCCAGACCATCATATCTTGACAGACTATGGAAGGCGACAGGATCAGGTTGAGCTGCATCCTTTGTAATTCAGCTTAGCTCTCAGCTGCAAGTAAGGATGATTAGCACATACACCCCCAACCTCCTTACTCATGTCATGTATCTTGTTCTCTCAACACTTGTAAGAGAAATAAAGCCTATTCAACATGGTCGCCATTTCAGGAGCGAGCGATGCCCTCGCGCGATGCCGATGTGTATTCGAAACGTGCAATCTCGTTTGCAGCACATATTCGACTCGAGTGTTTTGATTATTATTATTATGACTGTTATTATATAACCGCCAAAATCCCTATTTTTCACTGAATATTTTTGTCGACATGAACATCCAAACTGTGGAACGAATACGATCGTCATAATTATCTCGCACATCATAAAGTATGTAATTATAACATTAAGACAACTGCTGGTATTAAAGTATGACAAACTATTGTTACTTACTGTTAACCAGCACAATTCGTTGAAAATCGAGCACTCTGAGCCTTAGACGATCCGTTTGAGGAATGTCAGATTTGTGGCACCCCAAAAAAACTATACGAAAAATACAGGAAGTCCCCCCATTTTAAATCTCTGTAATATACGTGTTTTTAAAGAGAACAAGCAGGCTCAGTAACTATCAAATGCAACTGAACAATTACCGATCGAATTTATGACCCGTCATAGTTCAGATTCCAATATTGCTAATATTAGCTACGTGAGCCAGGAATTTGTAGATGTTGAAATTTGATCTAGACATTAGATAGATTTAATAAATATCCTGAAGTTTGTGTACTTAAATTATTATTGAATAAACATTACCAGAAGAAAAGATTCTATGACGTTAATAAATGCAAGCCAAATGTGTCGAAACAAGGGCCCAATTAAAGTTTTCAAAAGAGAACTAATAGTATAGATTGCGTGTATTATGACAGACACAAGGCGGCACAACTGACTCTCTCTTCAACGGGGAACAAATATTCAACGATTGAATCCGCATTTTCTCTGATAATGTTTGAGATCATAAACAGGAAGACGTGAAACAGACAATGCTTTAGGATATTTGAAAATAATGGAATAAAACATCGGTGATTTAGCCAAGCTCGGTAATCAGTAGCTATATAAGGTCGACGCATCGTGGCTTGATAAAAACCCTGGCTTGCGAGGTTGTCCGTTTATATCCAGCATTTCAACAGTCAAAAGGTGAGAATGTTTCTTATATTATTTAATATAATGTACATTAGTTCTCCGAACCTAAAAGCCTCATTATGAATTTATGGAATAATACAGATCACTGGGAAGTCTCATGGTAAGGTTAATTAAGATTGTTCCCAATAAAAGTAAAGTACTCACAATAGACTTTAGTAGACTAGTTTAATAGTAATATTATTGCTGTGAAGTGTGAACGTCAGAATACAAGTGATATTCAGCTCTAATTTACCCTAATGTCACAAGCAATACCATGGTACTAACCCTACCATCCTCCTGCACGTACATTGTGTCATATGGCAGAATTGCGAGACATGGTCATGGCGGCTTAATCCGACTTTACGACCTATGTGTTATGAAATTTGCTAAACGTGATACTCTGCATGAGTCCGGTTCTGTTATGAAATTGAACAGCGCAGTATAGATAATACATAATCCTACATAAAAGCATAAAGAATTTATATTTATTATATTCTTGCTTCTAAAAATATACGCCTTCTCAGCCTACTGAGGTCCAGGTCAAGTTGCAAATTATCAGCTCAAGTGAAGAATGTAATACTGCATTCCATTAAACGTACCAAATACAATTCAAGACATGTCAGACATGTATTAAACCGCTGATTGAAACAATTAAAGCATATCGACTTTCTGCCACGGCATATTAGATTGAACCAGCGTCATGTCATGTTTTTTTATTTATACAAAAAAATACGCGCAGTTCATCAATGATTTATGAAACCTGCGTCTATACGTTCTTAGAAACGTCAATCACACAAAAAGTGCGCATCAATCAGAAAGAAAGAGGCTAGAATAGAGAGTATTTATGATACTTTTGACAGTTTAATTTCTAAGCAAACTTCAAGTACCTGGTTCCAATATCAGTTTTATAGATCTTGTGATAAAAGCAACGCGTAGGAACTAACGGTAAACACAGCCATATAAAGACATGCCTACATGCAAAAGACAACTGTGCGAAACTTGGTAAACCGAAAAAGTTCTCGGTTTATTTATATTTTCTGTGAATTCTTATCTCGAATGCTATTATTAGAGATCAGTGAGTGGATTTAACTCTCCAGCTTCGTGATCGCCGCAAGAAACTCACCTGAGTGAAACACAAAATGTTTAAAAATAATTGTTTAAAATTAAATAATTGTTTAATTCTAGTTTGTTTAAAAATAATTGTTTTTTCATGTGAGATTCTACTCACATATTGCCATCAGATTAACCACGTGGGGACCGTGGGGTATATAAAGTTTTTCTTATGAACGCTTCATCATCCGATCTCTCCGGCTGCTTTTACAACTAGGAACGGGGAATCGTCTGCGGAGTATCAACGTTTTTAATATAGATCTCATGACTTGTTATCGGGGGCCCCCCTTATCGGAAACCCCACTTTCCCCCAACCCGGGGAAACATGGAGGAATAATCTTTTTTGAAAACTAAGCAAGAAAAGGCCAGGAGTAAGCAAAATAATCAAGAGCCATTCCGCCCCGATTCCATGCAGTCCCGCGTTCATTAGATAGCCTCGTACAAAAAGCCCTAATGCTGTCCCAAAGACAAAATTAATTACCTGTTGATATGCTTATTTTGGCTAAGATCAAACTATTAAAACGCGCAATTAAAAATACCAAACCAAAGAAGGAAGTAAATTCTGGCGGATTAGTATAACTATGCAATATATGTACCCGAAATCACTTGAATTACGAGTATAAACGACATAATTGTTCAATATTTACTTCAAGGTTTAATCTAGTTCTACTGTAGTAATTTTCAAAATAGCTCAAGCAGTGCATGTCTGATATAAATCATGGCTAAACATTACATGCTGATGCATTTCCTGAAATCCGCCACAAAGAAAACAATACTTTGACAATTCAAGTGAAATTAGATACTACGATAATGTACTGACTTCATATAGTATTCAAAAACTCATTAATAATTCTCCTGAAAGAGAATTTATATGGCATTTACATAAACTTTAGCTTTGATTTTCTCGGTTTAGACAAAGTTTATTTTAAAAATTACTTCGCCAATGTCAATGAACTTGTATAAGATGAGTCGTTTTTGAAGCTATTTAAAGTACTTGTAGTCGTGTTTTATCACATATAAAACACTCCGCTACGCGTCGTGTTTTATATGTGATAAAACACTCCTACGCGTAGTATACTATATATATATATATATATATATATATATATATATATATATATA